ACTGAAACTCAATCATTTTGAATCATTAGAAATCAACAATCTCAAAAATTTTGACATTTTGCTTGATGATCAATTAGACCTTAATAGTTCACCACTGTTGAATTTGTTTTCTTAGTAAGTAATAATATGTATTTGATATCAACTCTTTCAAGTTAATCCGGTATACCGTAATTTAATGTAGATATTGCGCCTAATTCTAGAAAATGGAGGTTTATCGTACCTGTCCACAGGTAACTAATCCTTCAGGTTGGGAAAGTAAGATATATAAAAGTTAAGCAAGCCAACGTTAGTTTAGTTCATTGTATCAGTATATCACCTGACGAAGCTACTGTGTTAGCGAAACATGTCGGGTGTTCAAAAATTTTGTGGAAATCTTATCGTTTGTGAAGTTTTCACATTTGAAGAAGATTCACTTTCGAATTTAACTTGAATCCCTATCTATCAGCTTCTACTAGAAATAGATATACTCGAATCAGTTTCTCTGTACAAATTTCTAGACTTGAATATACATTCGATTACTACATTCATCATTCCATTCATGAAATCCAGAAGAGCGTTCTAGATCAAACACTATTCAAACCCGTGAAATTTAGATAGTGATTCAGATCCATGATATATCTTATTATATACATATTCATAACATAATTGAAATAATTTTAGAAACTGGATCAAGCAATGCTCAAGGTACCTCTTCATCTTCCTTGGAATTGACATTTCCTTGAGGCTTCCTTCGAGTTCATATTACGACTATAAATTGGAAACTGGCCCTTAAGGATGCCTCAAGGGACAAGATCAGCCTAAGGAGCGACTATAAATACGGGCCTAAACCCCGGTCTAAACCTCGGTCTAAACCATGTGAAATGAAATGTTCAAAATGTTAATTCGTGGTTTGGATCTCTAGCTTTCTGTGTGATAGAACCATCAAAACATAAATAACAAATTAACATATTTATGTCAACAACAACAGTACCTCGGGCGAATTCGCAACTATAGTGCAATTAATTTGAACTGTCAGGTTTGATTTATACATGGACGTTTGAATTCCCTTACCGAATACCACGAGCGTAAATCATTCCTGGTAATTTATCAAAACCTTATGATATGATTGACAATTCTCTAATCTCTCTGAAAAGCTTTGAGGAAGGTTGGCAAGCTATCAATAATATATTCCAGCAGAAAATTTCGAATAATATATTGAGGTCGTGTGAGCTTTCCTCAGTTACTAGTCGAACACTAACGAAAATTTCCGAAGAAAACCCCTAGAAAACCTACATCCCACCGTTCTTCACCGTTAACTATTGATGGCTTATCTCTCCTAACAATAAAGTAATAACAATCAGACATGGTGCAGAAAATTCACAACGATAGCGGATCGTCACAATAAACCGTAATCTATTAGTGTGTTCAACTGTTAATTCTATGATCAGGTTACATATGGAACGCTTCACACATAATTATCCACTTGTATGCAAGTTTCACACCTATAGGCTTTTCATTCCAAGTTGATAGTGACGTTACTTTGGGGAATAAGTCGTGCCAAAACTCTACCAGAAAACCTACTAGTAACTTATGAAGTGCCACCCGCAAAACAAATCAAACTTTTGCCAGATTCATATTACATTTTCAGAAGAGACGTTTGCGAATTATTTTTCTACAATGTGGAATCCATGTAATCTTTTTTCAGAGCGAAGTAGGCCAAGTAGGGTGTGATATCGAGGGTTGCAATTTCGACAGGAACTTACTCAAACAAAGTTTATTTGTTTCATACTTTTCAATACCTTTATTCGCAGTATTATACAGAATTCATTACAATATTTGTTATATAATGGTCACCCTTCCAAAACCCACTGTTCACTTGATATGCTGCGAAGCTGCGAAGGTTCGATTTGAGCAGTGATTTGAACCTACTTTGTAGTAGATCTAATCGTCTTACTCTGTTCTTTATCATCTTTCCACGACTTTCAGTCTTCTCCATCGTATCGGATTTTTTGTAAAGTTTCTCACACACGAGAAAAATCACTAGGACTTTCATTCGTATGTGGGTAGTCTTCTTTCCTTGAGAGAGTTCAAATGCATTGACGTTAGATTCTCAGATTCCACAATCCTGCTACCGAGGATGGGGTAGTCATGTTTACTAATTCCTCCTGATGGCTACCTATAGACTAAAGACTAAATAGTTTTTATTATCATAATGTTCAAATACTATTTCCCAAGCTAAATCGTAGTTTCTGGACGAAAAGCAAATAGCCTCAATTCAGTCCAATTACTCTCTTAGACTCGCCCTGTAAATGCAACAATAATAGTAGATTGTTTTATCAGGATCAAAAGTGACACTTTGTTTGACAAGCAAATTTTGCATTGGCGAGGCGGAGCGTCTAGCGGAGCCAAACGAAAGCAAAATTTGCGAGTCAAACAAAGTCACTTTTTGAATTTTGAAAAAAAAACTGGTTGGCTTATTAGGTCCTCTAGGAGAGTGATTTCATGAACATCTCGTCAAAACAGATCAAGCAATCACAATGAGCGAGTGGACTGATAATGAATTATTGCCATTCAATTACTCCACTGTGTCGTTATGAACCCAAATTGGTTTTTGCAAAGCTTCTCATGCTTTTTTCATGTAAATAATGAGTCTATGCGTTGTTCGAAATTGTTGAATTTCCGAGCTCATTTCAAAAAGAACCTTCATGGCTGCCATTTGGCGATACGTCCACGATACGTCGAATAAATGGTGACGTCAGTTTTTATGCTGTTTTGTTTTTGGTTAGATAATCTTCCATTTCCACTCATGAAGCAAGGTTGTCAAGACATCAATTATAATCAAGTTATGACAAATATGTAAGAGTTACGTCGTTGAATAAAACATATAAGGAGGAACCCATGATATTATAGTTCGTTCTTGACTTTTTTGGCAACCAGCATGTCCAAATATTTCTTATTCTCCATTATAAAATATCATGTAAATGTAGGAGACTTGGCAACTTTGTGCTGAATGCAGAGAACTGACAAGACCACGTCCACAGGTCGTGCGCCGTGTTGTCACGTTCACCGATTGAAATGTTCTCTAGTGTGAATTTATTTAATTATCATTTAAACAAATTCATCGCAAGCAATAAGCCACAAATCATAAAGGAACATTTTGAGACAATTGAATTTTTATTGCCAATTAGGAATATTACCAATAGGTACTCAATTGAGAATTTATGAACTATTGAATAATATTTCTGAAGTTCCCAATCGTATTTCAACACATGGCAACTGTGCTTTGGTCAGAATCGGACTAGATTTTTATAAATATTTGATTTTGAGGGTGAAATATTCAAGTCGACCACTCCATTCATCAAACAATTCATATAACCAGAATATACATGATTTGTTTGGGTCGAATTATATGATGAAAACTTATTCCTTTCTTTAATTTCATTATTCTGTGTCGTTCCAAATTTTTTCATGTATTGTAAAATTATTATTCTTCATTTGAGGTGATAGAATAGGTAGTTATAGACTCTTTACTCGCTCATTTTGCTATATTCAATACACTTAACCTTCGATCATACATTGTCGTCCGGAGCACTCAACGGAGGATTGTTATGGTCATTGCTGTTTTGATCGACCTAACCTAAGCTGACCTGACGGTATTTCGACAAGCGTTATTCCGACCGATTGCTATTTAGATCATACTAGTTTTGGCGATCGATATTTCAACCATACACTATTGAAGACTTTGCAGTTCCGATAGATGCCTGTTTTGACAAGAATATTTGCCAATCGATACCTGTTTGTACTATAGGTACATATAAGCACTACGTATACCCTGACCGTCACTGTTTTGGTCAGAACTATTCTGACCAAGAACTGTTTCCTTGTTTTGGCCAAGCGTCATGTTGACAATCTATCTTTCTTTCGACCTTCAGCTCTACTTCAATCTGCGCAGTTTTGAAGAAATTCTGTTGAGGACAGCATCATGGATTATATATGTTTTGACAAGACATTATTATTTCACCAATCATTTTTTCAACCTGTTATATTTCGAGGAAAAACTGTTTTAATTGAGCACTTTTCGACCCTGTTTTGGAGATAGCTGTTGTTTTGGCCAACACTATCATGGTCAGTGCTGATTTGGTCAAGTGCTTTGTTGACAATCGTTGTCTTGGACCAGTTCTACTTTGATCTGCGCCGTTTAGAAATAGCTCTGTGTTTGATAGCATTATTATGACCATGTTTTGTTTTGGTCAGTGTTTTTTCGATCAATATCTGTTATGATGAGGTCTCTTTCAAATGTTTGTTTCACCAAGCCCTGTTTTATCCTGCACAATCTCAACAGTGTACTGTTTAAAAAAGCTCTGTTGTTGCCACTGAATACTATTTCGATCCTGTTTTGGCGATAGCTGTGGTTTTGTTTTGGTCAGCACTATTTTGGCTGTTTTGGTCAGTACTGATTTGGCCCAACGCTGTGTTGACAATGGCTGTTTCGACCTTCGTTGGTTTGGACCAGCTCTACTTTAATCTGAGCTGCTTCGACGGAGTTCTGTTTCAGACAGCATTATTTTCACCACTCACGGGTTTGGTCAGTGCTTTTTCATTTTCCAATCGATATATGTTTCACCAAGCACTGTTTCAGCCTGCACTATTTTAACGGAGCACTGTTTTGAATAGCTCTGTTGTATCGATAGAGAACTATTTCGATCCTATTTCTACTATAAGTAGCACCGAGTACCGAGAGCATTGTTGAAAATAGCACTGACCGTTGTTTTAGGCCAGTTCTACTCTGACGAAGATCTCATCTGTTTTAGCCAGTGGCATTTCGACCGATTGTCTATGTCAGTTTGACTATTGCCTGAACACTCATTTGAGACGAGTCTATTTTGATATAGAGCTGTTATGACCAAGTCCAAGGGCAGATTTTTCGAAGATTGCTTATAGAATCCGCGATTTAATCTGTAGTCCAAAGTATACCTTTGTGAAAAATATAACCTATCTAAATGGAGATGAATTTTTTCCAGGTCAAGCATGAAACAATACGCCTTCGGCGCACTGTTGTGTGCCCTTGTCCTGTACTGTCACGCCAACCCTATAGTGACCATCACAGCCGATCACCACGACGCTAGATCACTCGAATCACCCAGCGAGGTGCAGAAAGAAGGTGTGCAACAAGAAGCGATACAAGGTGTTTTTAATGCGGAAACTGCTGCTCCAGCACTAGAGGAGAAGACTGACGAAAAACCATCTGAAAGTAGCATTAGTGTCTCATCGACTGAATCCAACGCTGTTCCTAGTCAAAGCGTAGCAGAAAAAGCAGGCGAAGTTACTGCTGTGGAAGTGAAACCAAAAACGAAGGGAAAGGTGAGCAATGATTGAGATCAACATTTACCAAATAGTCCAAGAGCTGCAAATTTCGACCGTCATCTGATAACGAAATGGTATAAAAGGCATGTATAAAAACATTATATTTTATCGAGAGGCACCTGATGTGAAAATCACCATCATGAGCAAAATTATTCCAAAATTGCACTTTCCTGTGCGGTAATTTGCACTTAATTTCGGGATTTGATAGCGAGATAGGAATTAGGCCATCCGATGCCAATTGAATAGTAGATCTCAAAAATCTACCTGTATCATCCCTTAATCTGAGCCAAATTCACGGTAAGTAGATCGATTTATTTGCTGTCATTATTCCGGACATACTTCCGTCATGTGATAACGAGTTGAAACAAGAAGCGAATAAAAGGGGATAGTGTCCCATTTGCGAATATCAAAACGCGACACGAATCAAACTGAGCTAAGTTAATGGCAGAGCGTCAATATTTGTGGGACATGGTGAGTTTTTCACTGGTCCATCGGATATTATTAACAGGGGCGAAATATTCCCACAAATATTGGCGCTTAATTAAGGGGTGGCACAGATAGGGTTTTGAAATGTATCATTCAATTGGTATCAGATGGGATACTATTCAATTCGTTAAGAAATCGTAAAATTGAGTGCGAATCACCGCACAGAATAGTGCAATTTTTCAATCAGTTTGCTCAATATAGTGATTGGCACAGGCGCTGTTCCATCAAATACTATATGTTTTTATATGCTTTTGTACATACAGGGTCGCTAATATGTATGGAAACAGCTCATTATCTCGGTAACCTGTTGTTGGATTCTTTTGAATTTAGGTACTGTGTGATTTAAAAACGTACAGGATTTGGAAATGCTATAGCGAATGTTGCGACTTTTTCAGTTATTCCGGATCTTTTATTAACCCTTAATTACTCGCGCTGGTGTATTTTGTACACCAGCGCCAAATTTCTTGCTACCATCGAACGTGGAATTTTTTTGTGGCACCTAACCTATGTCTAACATGTCTGGGATGTGATAGATCAGTTTTGTGTGTGTGTTTGTACGTAAATTTTGATGCGTTGTCACGTTAGTGCCCGTTGGTGCCTAGAATACAATACACTGCGTGGGAAATAGGGTAAATTATCTAAGTATTCAATATTGTATACAAACACGTTAGCTGTGTATTATGTAGACGCACTAAGAACAGAGTTTTTTTTTTCAATTGCATTTCCTCGTTGGACCCAGCACTGGATCCAACGCCCCATAAGTCGAAACTTGTGCGGGGTTAGGGAAGCATACGTTTTTGTTTCACCTAAAAACAAGTCAAATCCATGGTGGTGTACAAAATACACCGCGCGGGAAAAAGTTCGAATTAATTAGCGCGAGTAATCAAGGGTTAAGTTCCTTATTTTGAATAGAACACCCTCTGTATATGTTCCAATTAAATGTCATACAGTAGATAGTAAATCAAAAGGAACATTGGAGCAGTTTTGATCGATAATGGACAGTTTCGACACAAAAAATCCTAGAGTTGAAAAATCTAGATTTTAAACACCCTACACCTATGTAATCAGTCCTGCTAGATCCCAAGTGTGATAGATCGATGGAATCAGCTCTTCAAGGTAAATTTGAAAATTCAATAAAGTACAGGGTTTTTCATTCAAAATAAGGACGTTACAAAAAAAATCCGGAACAACTTAAATATAGTGGCAACATTGGCTTTAACATTTTCAAATACGCCACGTTTTGAAATCACACTGTACATAAATACAAAAAAATTTAACAACAGGTTACTGAGATATTCATACCTGTTTCCATACATATCAGCGACCCTGTATATAATTTCGTTCTGAGATGACGGTCGAAATTTACAGCTGGCTCTCCTTCTACTCCTTACGGAATATGTATAATTAAATTAATTTTGACAGATGGCTCACCATTTTGCAAGCTGAGGTTCATGAGAATCAGCTTCTTCGAAATGCAGTTGATTATGACCCAGGTGATCAATCAAAGTTCAAAAGACCGTGATTGTCCATAAACTAGAGAAAATATCGACATTATGACCAAATTTACTATTCTCAAGTTTTTGATATTTATTTATTCCGTTCGATCTCTTTCAATTCTCAGAATGTATTTCTGAAACTTATTTGGGGCAGAAGGGCTGTTCGCATCAAACTTCAATACCGTTTTTATTTTGTTCCATAATAGATATCAGGATAAGAGGGACTCTTCCCTGGTCTGAATATAATAAAAGAAAGATCCAATATAACCTAAATTTCATATGAAGATAACTTTCCATTCATAAATGGAGAACCTTGTTAGAGTCCACGTGTTTTTTTTTGTCTTATTTGTTCACACTCAGCAGTATAAGAAGTCCCCAAATTCTTGGGCATTCTCAGCATTTTGTTAATCCAACGAATTATTCACAAAAACTCGAGATAATAATATGATCGCAGAACATTTTGGTTGGACCGGGGGTCATCCACCCCCGCGTACTCAAGGGTGTACAGTATGCGTGTATCATACATTCATAATAATAATAATATAATAATAATATAATAATAATATCGAGTAAAAGCAATTTGGAAATATTATTACATCTCAGATATTATGCATAACATTGCAATGAGGCGTAGTGAAAATGGAAAAAAATGCACAAACATTGAAGTAGTTTTTTCCGAGGTTTTTTCATCATCTTCTTCTTATTTTTCGCGCTTTTATGATATCGTTTGGTGAAAATGAAGTACTTTTTTATAGCCACTATGGTTTGAAAAGCAACGTAATGCATAAGATGTGAGTGCATCAATATTTTTAAATCGATTCCACTCGAAAATGATACATCTGATCGATGAGGAACAAGAGCACATTTTTTCGTGAAACGGTGTGGATTTTTATAATCCGAGATTAAATTGTCAAAAAATATGCATACGGAAGAGTTTGAGCAATATTTAATGTAGTCCCACCTGTAATATAGGTACACTCCTGAATGAAACTTTGAAATGATTTTATGTTCACCGCATTGGGCATGGTAAGTTTATTTCTTGTACCAAATTGCATCATTTTATCATGGGGCGTTTCGGAAATATTCAAGAAATACCATCTTCAGGAGCCTCCTCTCAGGGGGCCGTAGCTTCCTTAGGGGACATTTCTCGACACATCTTCATTGAAACTTTTCTTCCTGAATTTTGGCTCAGAAGCCGCTGGTGGAGTTTGGCAGGTTAACTTTGGGACAACCATGGTATAAAATTCGCTGAAATAATAAATGCATATTATGAACAAGGCTAAATAAGACATACATATGAATTCGAGACATAAATATAATGTTATGTTCGGCTTGATTCTATATTATTTTTAAATAAAATCGAAATATAAAAAATATAATATGCCGATAATATAAATTGAGTGGCTATTGACTTTCAATAGGAAAAGGAGGTAATCATTACAATTGATTTGATCTTCTCGGGGTTTATAAATTTTAAACACTCTACAGCAAACAAATTATCAAACGTTCGATGTAAAAATCCTACTTCCTATAGCACACTGATCATTAATTGATCAACGTATTTCATATAGTTCAACTACCCTCTACATCTTACTGTCTACAATCAAGCAACAAGCAACTGTCCGTTGCGCCACCGATTTTTTATTACGATATTGAAAGAGTGGCAGCGTTTTGTCGGGAGACGAGCTAAATTCTACTACTTTTTTTCCTTGTATAATGGATAACTATTGTTTCCATATAAACGCGCGTGTTTCTTCCTCTTATACCCAAGGTTGGTAGAATTGATGATTATTTTGAGAAATTATCATCAGTTCTACCAACCTTGCTTATACCTAATAATGAAATTTCATTATTGATACTATTGACATCTTTGATCAACTGTAATATATTGGATGTTTAAAATATGCATCACTGATTGATAGTTGTGTTCGCTTAGAATTTTTGTGAATATTTGACAAATTTTTGTCGTTTTAGTATCTAAAGTAACATCGTTCGAGTCGACATAGTTACTCAGTTTTTCAGTAAACAGGCCACAGATGAGTAATGAGACAATTCAATTATTTCACTGTTTGTTCTCAGTGTTGTGGTGTGATGTTATTGGTTGTTCTATGTATATGGAATTCTGATGAAGTCTTTTTCGTACTATGAGTGGACGTATTCAATCGATATTTATTCATTATTGATTCAGAGTTGACGCTAGCGGATATTCTTCACAAAGACTCAACGTTCCAACATTTGTAAATAATTTTGAATATATGTATTCTTGTCTAGAAGATAAAAGGAGACATATCGTGAGTAGGATTTGAAACTATTCAAAATTTGTCGAACTTATCACAATTTATAAGGTAAACATCAATTATTACGTCAAACGGAAGTACAGAAACTCAAGAATCTTGATTCAATAGAAGAACGACTTCCTATGTTTTCAATATGTATAATACAATCTGTAGCATTTGTTCTCTTCCACTTTACTGAATTATGTTCAGTATATATAGACTCGGCTGTTCATTTCAGTTGGGATGGTAACCGCTCATGAGAACTCTTCAGATTGATTTCTTGCGGTGAACTACTCCGCTGGTATTCTTCCTTCTGTACTTCGTCACAGGCTGTTGTGCCGTTTTGCCTTTTCTGTTATTGACTGCCAGTCCTTTCTTTTCTCTCCAATTGTATATCCTCATGGTTCTTATATCCTTAATATCTCGTCCTTCCATATTGAATTTGGCCTCCCTCTTGGTCTGTTTATTTGAGGTTTTCATTCCCACACTTTTTTATTATCCTATCTGGTACCATTTCAACAATTCTGCTTTGATGATTTTTACTATGTCTTCACCATCCATTGCTTCCTTTATTTTATGATTCAATAGTCTACCCTGTTCCTCTTCTGTTCTTACGGTCCTAGTATTTTCCTCATTATTTATCTCTCGAACATTTTTAGCTTTTCTTCTTCTTTATTTGTCAATCTCCTTGTTTCAGCTCCATAGGTGACTATATATTCGCTTTTTTGTTGTCGTGCTCAAATTTTTATCTCTGAGTAAAGTTAAGTTCTTCCAATATGCCCTGTTTCTCGCTTTGATTCTTTCTGCGATCTCTATCCCTCTATGATTATATTGATTCAGCGTTACTCCTAGGTATTCGAAATTTACCACTTTTTCGAAAGAATATTTTCCTATTCTTATTTTCCTCATGATATCGTCTTTGTCACGATTGATCAGCATGTACTTTTTGTTAATCGATTTCGTCCTCTTTTCTTGCTTCCTTTTCTAGTTTTGTTTGTTTGTCGCTACTGGTCAGAGCCAGGTCGTTCAGAATTGATCTTCCTACCTTTATTGTCTGAATTGTCCCATTCAGTTAAATATTGAACAGTGTTGTTGATAGGTCATCACCTTGCCTTATTCCTGTTTCTATTTATATTTCTTCTGTGTATCCGTCGTTGGTTGAGTCTTCCATTGTCATATTTGTGAACCTTGTCAGTTTATTTGGAATTTCGATTTTCTCCATATATTTTTTTAGCTCGCCTCTATCCACACTATCGAAAGCTCTCTTGAAATCCATGAAGATTCAAAAGGGTCGGAACTGACAACAACGCATTATCAAAATATTTCAAAAAATTTCAAATTCAAACCAAATAACTTTTGTATTAACTTTGTTCTTATCTTCAAGGAATGGACCACTGTGACCTTACAACATATACCTAATCGTTGTAAACTTTGAAACTGCAATACTGAATTTGAAAAATGTATTTCTGATTTTGAGTGAACAAAAATTAAAAACCTACCATATGACAAATAAATAACTGAAATTATATGTATGGCGCTATGCATCTTTGTCGATCTAGCTAAAGCATTCGACACGGTCAGTCATTCTAAATTATTACAGAAGCTTCAAGATATTGGCATAAGAGGTACTGCCCTGAATTTGATGAGTAGTTACTTGAGAGATAGAACTCAGAGTGTCAAAATAAATAGTACATTGAGTGAATTCAAAACGGTTGAATACGGCGTCCCCCAAGGTACTGTCCTGGGACCAGTGTTATTTAATATATATATAAATAATATGTTCAAACTCAAAAGTACGGGCAAAATATTAGGGTTTGCAGATGATACAGCGATAATTTACCAAGACGAAAATTGGGAAACATTAAAGGAAAAAGCAGAAATCGATTTCAAAAGTATAATCGAATGGTTTAGCAGTAACCTCTTAACAGTGAATTTCAGCAAAACCTATTATGTTGCCTTTGCTTCGTACAAGAAATACTTACCAAATTTCAATTCATTAACAATAGACCTTGTTGACACTAATATTACTGTAAATCAGACAGAAAATATAAAATATCTTGGTATATATATCGATAGCCACCTTAAATGGAATAAACATCTCGATTATGTCACTAGAAAGCTAAGAAGTATCCTACCAAAATTCAGATATGTTTCTCAATACTTAGGATTGGAACATCTCAAAACCCTTTATTATGCATTAGTAGAAACGCATCTTTCGTATGGAATATTACCATGGGGGGGATGTTTAAATGTACACTTACAACACCTGAAAATAATACAAAAATACATACTTAAAATTATTTGCAAAAAGAAACGAACTTACCCTACAAATTTACTCTTTGATGGAATAAAATTATTCGATATAAGAAAATTATTTCTCTTTAGAATACTACAATACCAGCATAAACACAAGAATGATTTACTCCCTTTACCTCATAACTATAGTACCCGTCACAAAGCCTATTCTACTTGGGTTCCAAGATCTGAAAAAACAATACTTCAAAGATCATATTACTACCTAGGGCCAAGATTGTACAATGTCGTTCCCATAGAAATCCGACAAAGTTTTGGATCATATACTTTCAAAACAAAGTTGAAGAAATGGTTAATTTCGGTGCCAAATGAATTTATCAACTCAATTATTGATCACAAAAATTCATGATTTTTTTATGTTATTGAAACAATTATGAAAATATTTTTCTTACTTATCATTCAATGTCCTGTCCTCTGTAATACCACTTAGTCGTTTTTATCTTATTTGTTGAATTATTTTATTTATATACATTTAAACTGGATGATCAAATGATGCAACTTTTATATATTTTATTTAGATTCATACGTCTCTTGTTTGTTTTATATTAGATGTAGATCCATATTTGTACTTATACTCATGTCCTTGTTTATATTGCTAATTTCAATAATTATTTCCGCCATACACTAGTGTATAAAGTGTGAGGCTTTAATAAATAATATGCTTGAAATCAACAGTAGCCACGCTCAAGGGTAAACCTTTTGTGGCAACCCTGTTTGTTTATCAGCGAATTTATTGCTATCATTTTATACCATGGAAAAGGATTTGTATTATATTGTAAATTCCTGAATAAACAATTATATAAATAATTGTTGATCTTCCTTTCCTGACACCTTGTTGGTAATTTCCCAGTCTCTTTTCAACGTATTTCGTTAGTTTTTCTCTAATAAGTCTTGACAATAGTTTATATGCTCTACGGTCAGTATTGTAATACCACAATTGAAAATAAATGAAAACCCAGTGAGGCATCATAAATTAATGAGATATAATTTTGTTGCAGGTAAAGGGAAGGCAATCTAGTGACGATGACGACGAGGATGATGACGATGACGACGACATTCTCGGCGCTGACGATGACGATGATGATGACGATGACGTCGCAGCAGATGACGATGACGATGATGACGGCGATGATTACTTCGGAAGTTTCTTCGACGATATCCTAGGTGGTGAGTTCGACAAATCAGAATATTGGGAAGGTTGAAAAATGATTCTCATCACCATGGAATATGATACAAGAATAATTCATTGATTTGGTGACTAAAAACTGTGAAGGAAATATTGAAGATGAATATTACTTTTCATCAGACAACTTCAATTATGATGATTGGAGTAGATATAGTTTACCTCGAGCCGTCAAAGCATTGCATTGTGCAGTTCTTGTTGCGTTTATTTAGATTCTTTGCTAAATTTCATTATACTGACTCAATCTGTGAATTGGTCAGTACAACAATGTAGAAATGATGTTCCAATCCCTTCTATGAGGCTGTCATGTACAGGGTGGGCTAAACTGGGCACTTTTAAATGGAAAGCCCTATTCTCGAACCAGATGGAAGAAAACTGATGTCGGTGCCTGAGGGTCGATTCTCATGAAAAACTCAATGGTGAAATCCGCATATCGATATCTGTCTTCGTGTCGGAGTTCCAAGGTGTGTTTCGAAAATGGTCATTTTTGAAAAGTGGCTACAGATATTTTTTTGGCAAAATTTGTCTGTTATTATTAAAATAACTGTAAAGCATTGAGTTTCTAATAAGAATTGTTTTCGAGGCACTGAAATCGGCATTTCTATATCTAGTTCAAGAATATAACTTGTTTTTCTTTAGAGAAAAGTTCTATTTTTCATAAAATAAAATGCTTCAGATACCGAATCTATATACAGTTATCATTTTTGTTACTTAAGTTGTATCTATTTGAAAGCCAAATATTCAACTCGAAAATGAAATAAAAAGTTTGAGCAATACTACTTTTTATTCCACGTCTTGGTATAAATAATGGCCCACTTAATAGTGGTTGGGTTTTTGAGTATAATCTGAAGTATAATATAATCTGATAATACCTATTATGTGATGTGAGAACCAAACATTGGAAATTCCATGGAATTTCTTGATGGAATTGGAGCCTGTTTGGTTGGTTGATTTTTTGATGTCCCGATTCCCTGTTGAATAAACGAAGTGGTAATGAAATACTCGAAAATATCAATAAAAATTTAAAATACTCTTCGTAATGAGACTCTATAGCCTTGCCAGTATAGCTACTAACTGCTGCTTGACCTTCGCGTTAATCTGTGACAAGACCATAGTATATGCAGTATCTATGTCCTGATCGAATCTGCACAGACTTTCTCTCGCCAATTCAATAAAAATCTCATGTTTGCTGAAAAGACAATGTCGAGTCGGCCCTATATAAGGTTTTATTTCAACACTGACGTGTCTATTGTGAAGCTATTTTTTGTACATTAGAGCACACAACCTCTTCGAAATGTGACTTCATAGCCTTGCCAATGGTCTTTTCCCACAGCTACTAGCTGCTTCCTGACTTTCGTAGTATATGCAGTGCGGTTTCTTCTGCTTCCTGACATGACCTGCACAGGCCTTTTCCTGTCAGATCAATATATCATGATTGCTGAGACGACAATGTCGCGTCGGCCTCATAAGATCTGGCCTTATAAGCACTGACCCAACTGTAACTCACTGTATATTCAGAGCATACTACCTCTTCGTTATGAGATTCCATAGTCTTGCCAGTGGTTCTTTCGTATACTCACAAGCTGCTTGAGCTCACTATAGGTAGGCAGTGCGGTTTCTTCTGCTTCCTGGCAGAATCTGCACAGGCGTTTTCCCGACAGTTTGATCAAAATCTCATGTTTGCTGAGACGGTTCGGCACTGGCCTAACTGTAAGTCTTCTATTGTGAAGCTATTTTGTGTATAGTAGAGCACATTACCTCTTCATGATGATACCCCAAAGCTTTGTCAGGGGTTCTCTGGTATACACACTAGCTACTGCTTGACCTCCGCATTACCATATAGTATATACAGTGAGCTTGCTTCTGCTTCCTGACAGAACTTACACAGGCCTTTTTTCGTCTGTCCGATCAAAATCACATGTTTGCTTCGACGATAATGAAGCTTCTTTGTGTATATGAGGGCACACTATACCTCTTCATGATAAAACTCCATAGTCTTGCCAGTGGTTCTTTCGTATAGCTACTAGTTGCTGCTTGCCCTCCTCGGTAACATAATATATGTAGTACGGTTTTTTGCTCTTCCTGGAAGAACCTGCACAGGCTTATTCCCGTCAGATCAAAATCACATGATTGCTGAGAGGACAATGTCGCGTCGGCCTTATAACATTGAGTTTCAGAACTGACCAAACTGCGTAATTTATCTATTGTGAAGCTATTTCGTGTACAATAAAGCACACTACTTCTTCGAGATGTGACTTCATAGCCTTGCCAGGAGTTCATTAGCACAGCTAGTAGCTGCTGCCTGACCTTGTCGAAGTATATGAAGTGCGGTTTCTTCTGCTTCCTGACATAACATGCACAGGCTTTTTCCCGTCAGATCAATATCTCATGATTGCTGAGACGACAATGTATAAGATTGTAGTTCAGCAATGACCCAACTGTAACTCATTGTATATTAGAGCATACTATCTCTTCGTTATGAGACTCCATAGTCTTTCCAGTGGTTCTTTCGTATACTCACTAGCTGCTTGACCTTACAATAGGTATGCAGTGCGGTTTCTTCTACTTCCTGACAAAATTGACACAGGCTTTTTCTCACCTTTCAGATCAAAATCACATGGTTGCTTAGACGATAATGTCGCGACGACCATATTAGATATTGGTTCAGCACTGACCTAACGGTTTTTCATCTAGTGAAGCTTCTTTGTAAATACAAGAGCACACTACCTCTTCATGATGAAATTCTATAGTCTTGCCAGTGGTTCTTTCTTTTAGCTACTAGTTGCTGCTTGCCCTCTTCAGTACCATAATATATGTAGTATGGCTTCTTCTACTTCCTGACAGAAACTGCACAGGCTTTTTCCCGTCAGATCAAAATCTCATGATTGCTGAGACTACAATGTTGCGTCGGTCTTAGAACATTGAGTTTCATAACTGACCGAACTGTAATTTATCTATTGTCGATCTATTTTTTCTACATTAGAGCACACAACTTCTTCTCAGCCTTGTCAATGGTCTTTTCCCATAGCTACTAGCTGCTTCTATTGTCAAGCTATTTTTTGTACATTAGAGCACACAACCTCTTCGAAATTCAACTTCATAGCCTTGCCAATGGTCTTTTCCCATAGCTACTAGCTGCTTCCTGGCCTTCGCAGCATATGGAGTGTGATTTCTTCTGCTTCCTGACATAACCTGCAAAGTCTTTTTCCTGTCAGATCAATATCTCATGATTGCTGAGACGACAATGTAGCGTCGGTCTCATGAGATTGTAGTTCAGCACTGACCCAACTAATAGGTACCTCTTCGTTATGATAACTTTACCTCACTTCAGGTATGCAGTCGATTTCGTCGTCTTCCTGACAGAATCTGCATAGGTTTTTTCCCAACCGATCAAAATCTTATATTTGCTGAGACACCTTATATGATTGTGGCTCGGCACTGGCCTAACTGTGACTCATCGCAATCATTCTCTTTATCTAGGTGGCGACGATGATGACGATGACGACGACGACGATGACGACGACGAAGAAGACGCACCGTCGCCTCAAGAGCCAGTCGTAGCCGAATCTCCCGCCATCCAACCGGCCGCCTCTCCTGAGCTAGCCTCTGCCGCCTCCGAACTGTCTCCGAGCGAGGAACTCGATGCCCAGGAGCAAGCTGCCGGAGAACTAGAACAAGGTAATTTCAAAAAACGATTACAAACCTGGAAATAATTTCCGCAGCACTGTTAATCTTCTCAATCACTTTGTTTCACATCCTCATAACGAGATGATTCTATAGCAAGCTTTAAACGTGTCACTAATTATTTCTTCTTCTTCTCTTGCATATCTTTTTTGAAGTAGGAAGATCATGTTTATCTAATCTTCTTGAATATGGGACCTCAAACAGTTCTGCTGTATCTACTCTCTTGAACAAAGGAGACTAGATTGGTTTCATATCAGATGATAGTTGTCCAACTAACTAATTCTGTTACATATGCTGGTCCAATAAATTCAAATCGCGTATGCTTTGACTCATATGTTAGGTGTATATTAGTGTTGCATCATAGGCACAGAAAAAAAATATTAAAGCTCTGAAGCCATTTACCTTGCTATTACTATCAATGTAAACAAGGAACGTTCACCCCGAAAGAAGTATTGTGTCAACAGCAAAGAACGTAAATGATCTGATTTTGTTAATGGAACTGGGTCCAGTACTAGTCCTTGCGGTACACCAAAACCTATACCTATAGGATCAGATGTTTTCTCTGTAGTCCTGACAATTTTATCTCGATCTGCACGACTGCAGCGAGCTGTGTGAATTGCCTCTGAACGGATGACAAAATAGTATACTTATCTCTCTAACAGGCCTAATTACAGGTCACTATCGTCTGAATTATCATTGTTGAGACTTGCACAGAATTTTACTCTGGATCTATCTACTTGAGTTTCCACCGATACTACAGGGAGCTTCCCACCCTCAATATCTTTCTTCTAGTGATAATATGAGAAATCGGAAGAACAGATCGATTTTATTTTCATGGGGGAAACTTAAAATTATTAGTTTCAGCCCTCTTGATTCATTCCCCTTGGAAAACACTTAAAATCCATATTTTTAGCCCTCTCGGTTCAACCGACTAGGAGGGGTAGATGTTACTTTTAGAACCTCATATGAAAAGGGGGGTTGTGATGCACATTATTTTGAAGGGCGTTCAAGTATCTTTTCAACAATACCCTAGTTTTTTTGATGAGCAGTTCTTGATGTTATTCTTTGATAGATATCATTTAGTTTCTATTCATTTCTTGATAGAAAATCTTAATGTTTAGTGATTTTATTAGTTATTTATCTCACTCTGTAGCCAGCTGATCTAATCCTGACTACCATCATACCTGATTATCATTCAAATTCTAAGAATTATCATACACGGTGACTTTAAAAGTAAAATTTGTAAAATTTGTATATCGCTACTTCAAAGTTGGGAAGTCGAAACTTGTGCGGGGTTAGGAAGAGCGGGACCTACAGCTTATAGTGGAAAGTTCAATTATTCAAAAATTGTAACATTGATAAAAAACACCCCGATATAATTCAATGTTCGACGTGGCAAATACCCTAGAAAGTTGTTCTTTTCTGTTGAATATTCAGAACGACTATGTGCATATATTATATATTATATGAGGGAGGATGCAAATTCCCTACTTCAGAAGGTTTTGTTTTCAAATTCTTATCGTGTGTGTGCAATATAGATATAATACAATGTTCGTCGTGGCATATCGCCAGGAAAGTATTTGTTTTCTGTTGAATAAATAGAGAAAGATTCGATATTTTCATCACAGCCCCCCTCTATATCTCAGTTATTAGTCATGCGATTCCAACCAAATTTGGTGTGGTATGAATAACCATCAATATGATCAGTTGAACAGAGATGCATATCATTTTGGACAGTGCCGTGCGTTTTTATTGAACTAAAAAGGGGTCGATTTTTCATAAAATCATGTTAGCCATTTTTTTACAGGAAATCTAACCTCATATTATTGTTCCCCATTCGTTTGAACCTCCATGTAGTCTCGAATAAACAGTGACTTCAAATCAACTACGAATTTTGGAACGTTTTATGGCTCCGGTAGGTGAAAAACATGATTTGAAAGGAAAAACAAGTTATACTTTTTTATGTTGAACCCACCGTTTCCGAGTAAATAATTATTACGTTCGCAAAAATGCTGTTTAGATGTTCTTGTTTTTCTGAAACCCTTCATAGGCATCTCATGAAATTCCACATATGTGGGTTTGAAACCATGAAGAACAATATTATGAGGTCAGTTTTCCTGTGAAAAATGCCTAATATGATTCAATAAGAAACTGACCCCTATTCATTTCAATAAAAATGCACGGCACTGTCTAAAATGATGTTTGTCTCTGAAGAACTGGTCATATTGAAGATTATTCATACCGATTCAAATTTGGTAAAGATCGCACGACTGATAGCTTAGCAATAGAGGGAGGGCCGTTTGAAATGAGACACGCTGTATATATATCCATTTTTCATGTTCATAATTATATATGACTATTCCACTATTGATCTCGAGAACCAATCAGAATAGACCATTTTCACGGTTTCTTCTGTATTCTAGCGATATTTTTTGTTTACTAAATTTTATCGGACTTGCTCTACCAATACAGAAGCCGAATGGGCGTGTACACCTTAGTAAAACTTTCAACTCAAACCATGTTTATAATGATCCTTTTATACATAAATAATGATTGACGACATAATTCGATCGAAAAATCAACTGGAATGTTTTATTTTTGCACATAAATAATAGTACCTTCTGAAAACGGACCGCTCTTATGACGTAGAAACCTCATCTCGCCATAGTTAAAAGAAAATACCAAACGCACGACGGAGACTGAGGCAACTGATATATTAATTCTTTGAACTGTGATCTCGCACTAATTCACTCTGTCAGAAATCATGTATCATTCATCTCTGTCTGGATTGGTCTTGTTTCAGTATTAGGGTTTTGACGTCACATCATCGCCTCGTTTTCAGAGGTCCAAAAAATCGGGGATTTCAATAATTTTTTATAAAACGTAGGGAACTCACAGCAAGAAACGGTTTGCGGTAGTGAGCTAGTTTGGGTGAGTTCTATTGAATTATGAAATAAACATTTTTTGTGATATAAGCCCATTGACCCACACGTGACCAACAAACCTCGTTTATCAGCGATAAAATTTTGACATCGTGTCTGGTCAAGATTGCTTCGGATTCAAATCTGAGACATTAACCTAAGTTCCTACTTTATTTTATTTACTTATAATTTGCGTTAGTGAGACATTTTGTACGAAAGGCGAGACAATTTTATTCTGGCTGGACGTTTCATGTGTAATTTAAAAAGTTTGCATATTTGTTGACGGTCTCTGACACAACAATACTAGAATTCAAATTCCTTTTTGAAGTAATATTCAATTAGTCAAGTTATTGTGACTGATAAATTATCAGATGATGTGGCGCAGCTGAAAGGGTTGTTGCGCGAGGATACGAAGGTCGGTGGTTCGAGTCCCTCGGCAACGATATCTTTTTTTAATTATTTCATGTCACATGGATTCAATTTTTTTTTTTGAATTGAATAGCAATTGTATACACTCTTTTGAGAGCAACCATCTCCAAGATAATAAAAAAAATACTGTTTGTTAAAATTGTACATTCCACTTTGTGAATAACTATAAGTAGGTAGTTAATTTCAAAAAAATTGAATTCTGTATTTCATCATTATCATTATGTTCTTCTTCGCAGTTTGGGTTGGAATATACCTAAATTGTGTTTCCTATTTCTTATATATATTGTCTCATTCAATCATGAAATAGTCATACGAATACAACTCGTGATACTATTTTTCCTGGAAATATTCGTCGATTGACATACTACAGCTTGCTGCTCTAATTTCGCTCATGACATTGATCCAAAACTACTCGCCTACTGCTCGTAGTTTTGATAACAATGTCATTCACGAAATTACTAAGCAACAAGCTGTCGTAACCCGAATATTTCCGGCAAAATATTATCACTTGTGGTATTATACAGGGTGTTTCAGAAAAACCTGACCCCCTTACTAGGGTAGATAGAACACTGCAAAATAAGTTGGGTTTACTCAGTGCAAAAAATTTCGTAACGGCATCCGTTATCAAGATACAAGGTGTTGAAAAAATGATTTTTTTACACATTTTTCAAGATTATGTCGAAACTACTGGCAACATTGTGATGAAATTTTGTATGGATGTATCTTGGAATCCGACACATCGCATGCATTTGTTTTTATATCTGACTCTCATAGAGGGCGCTAGTTACACGGTTCGTACCGAGTAGTCTTCAACATAACTTTTTTGAGGTTAGATTCTTCAATCCAAATTTGATGTGAACTTGAACATCATTTAATGCCACACCAAAAAGGCACTCTTGGTAAAACTCGATACTGTGTTCCGTTCTCGGAATATTTCGATTTGAAAATGATGAAGTGATAACTGTTGCTGGTATAAAGCTATGTATTAGTGTGAATATTATGAAAAATTATTACCTATTCGTTGAAAACCGAAAACAACAATACATTTCTGATGCTAAACTTATTGATTTAACAATGAATCACTAGAAACATCGAAACAGATTTGACTAAGAACATGGATTACACAGTTTTGTTGTATCTTGAGCAGAAAGTCTATGCTACATAGGTAAATTCACGTCAAGAGTTGTAAGACATAATTGAACATCACTAAAATGACCTAACAGCTGATCCTCAACTGTTTAGAAAAATAAGAAAAGAATATAGAATCGTGTATTCGTCGAAACGTAGGAAATTTGGAACACTTACTCTATCTGATTCAATATTTCATGTTTCTAGTCAAATATCTCTTGATTTTCTACTCATGATTCTTTGTTCCATCAATAACTTCAGCACAATAATAATTTTATTGTTTTTGAATCTGAATAAATAGGTAATTGAACTCAATAAAAATAATTTTATACCAGCATCATAACTACTTCATTATTTTCAAATCGAAATATTCCAAGAACGGAAAATATTATCGAGTTTCATAAAAAGTACATTTTCGGTGTAAAATTGAATGACGTTTAAGTTCATATCATATTTGGATTGAAAAATCTAACCTCAAAAAAGTTATGTTCAAAACTACTCGGTACGAACCGAGTAACTAGCGCCCTCTATGAGAGTCAGATATAAAAACAAATTCATGCGATGTGTCAGATTTCAAGAAACATCCATACAAAATTTCATCACAATGTTGCCAGTAGTTTCGACATAATCGTGACAAATGTGTAAAAAAATCATTTTTTCAACACCATGTATCATGAAAACGGAGGCAGTTACGACATTTTTCCACTGAGCAAACCCAACTTATTTTGCAGTGTTCTACCTACCCTAGCAAGGGGGTCAGGTTTTTTTGAAACAACCTGTATATGAGAATATTGCTTTTCAATAATATGACAAAACTGAAAAATATTTTTGTTATGTATCATGTTCAGTGGGTATAACCTCGAATTTTTTTATTGCAGGTGCTGGAACTGACCAACCCGGTCAAGACGCCGAAAAATACCCTATCGAAGCGCCACAGGCTGTCGAAAACTCGGTAGAACCCGTAGTAGTCCAGCCTGTGCCCGCTGACGATGACGACGATAATGACGATGACGACGACGACGACGACGATGACGGCCTAGCGGGTCTGACTGACGACGACGATGACGACGATGATGACGACGACGATGACGCTACCGACGACGACGATGACGAAGACGACGACGATGACGATGACGTAACGGATCTAGAGGACGTAATCGAGGCGAAAAGATCACGTGAGTCGAAAAGTTTAAAGCACAAACAGAAAAAAAACAGAAAACACCACCACCATCATACACACAAAGTTTCTAAAGTTGCTAGTAAAGTGAGATAGGTGATAGCGCGAAGTAGTGTAGTGTAGAGACTCTTTTTTTTTTCATTATTATTTATTTTTGTGTCTTTTTTGTCGAAGAATTTTTCTGTACAAATATCTGTGCTTTGGGGCCAAAATGTTTAGTTTTGGTATCTGGTATCTCGTACATCCTAGTCAATGTAAGTGTTATCAAAATGCCATAGAATTTTTCAATACATAGCTTGCATTCTGCTTATATTTCGAAAATTTTAGCTTTCAGAATGATATTGAAACTAAGCAATTTGGCAACCTCAGCGCCTCAAAAAGCAATAGTAGCTGTAGTTATTTATTTGCTCATTTTAATTTCTATTTATGAACTATTTATTTATTTAAAATGCTTCTTGCATTACTAGGTACATGTCACATATTTGGTGACTATTTTCTCAAAAATTTTTGAAAATCTGTTGTATGAACTTGTACAAATTTTTCATGAATATATTTTCACATAAAATCATTGTGTTTTATTTTTTATTTGTGTCTTCCACTGCGCCCAAAATGTTATTGTTCATTCTTTAACATTTTGTGACATTTATCTAGCTCATGCATCACTAACAAAATGCTTCCTTAACACTTTCACTTCAGCTTTCTCATCTAATATACATCAGCTTGGCGCCAGAACTGTCAATTAAATATTTTCATACTAATTTTGGAAAAAATCTATATTTTTATGTGCTCACTTGTTAAGATAGCTTTCTTCTATGCTTTGATTTTAATATTTCTCTAGATGTGCTAATCATTCTTGCAGAAAACCACAACAAAAATTCTTAAGACCTTCAGATCATTACATTCTATTCTCAGTTGATTCAGATAACTCAGTAGAACATTTTTTTTATAGATTTAATTTCTTTAAACGACTCTAATATCGACAGTAGATTTTTTGAAGCACATCTGAATAATTTTCAGTAGTATCGACATAACAGCATGACGAAATTTGGACATCATCGACTTTGGACTTATTGGACAAAACTAGAGGGTCAATTTTTCGCAAGTAACATATTGAAAACTTACGGAGGGCAATATGATAATAATATTCCGCAAACATTTCAAAATTCTTGTAAAATAACAATGTTGCCTTCCGGAAATTTTCATAAAAGTAGAATAGAGGGTTTTTGAAGTAGAAAGCATGCCTAGAACATTCATTCATCGAATAGTTTTCTCAAAATGACCAATTGCATGAATTAAATATAAAAATAATCGTCATTCTCCAAAATTTCAAATTCCGAAACTTCGTCGATGTGTATGCAAATGAGTTAGTCGCATTTTTCATTTTACTATGACTTCAAGATTCTCAAGACGAACTGAAACTAAATCAAATGGAATAATGTTCAGATATGTTTTCTATAATGAAGTGTTACCAAAACGTAAGACAAACTATTTCGATCAAATTTTTTAAACAGATATTCATCTAGCAACCAATGGATTTGGATTTTGTTCAAAATCAAACGTCCATCATATCTACTGATCATTCACACGAAACGAAACTATTATTAGTCATTTTAAATAAAAAAAACTGGAGTGAGCATATTCAATAATAATAATAATATAAGATATCAGGGATCAAAACACAGAGTCGTCTCCAAAATACTCTCTCAATTATGTGAGTATCTGACTTGTTATGCTGAGAAATGAAAAACTAGAACAATTTCAGGTAAACACTGTGACCAAGATAAACTTGGGGATCTCTGAAACCATCAAAACGGAAGGAGCTTCCGAAATTTTCAAAATTCATAGTTTTCTAGTTATATCGAAACAAGTTAATTTTTACGCTAGTATTGGAGATACAGGAGAACTGAAAATACTTTTACATTGAAACTTTTGACGAGATTCAACATGGTGATAGTGTTGAAAAGAAATATTCTCAGAAAAAATTATGAACATGAAACAAATTGGATATAAGTAACAGGGTGAGTCGGAAGGAACGCACCAAACTCCAGGTGTGTAAAAATAATTTGAAAAAACCCATATGTTCCTATACGATTCTCATTTGTTTTCATTTCAAATTTAAAGAGATTTGTGGCATTATATAAGACTTCAATTGTACAAGCTTGATTGTTCCATCAGTCTAGTTTTTCTGACATGTGACATATATGTATTCAAATTTATGATGAAAACAAATGAGAATCGTATAGGAACATATGGGTTTTTAAAAAAATTATTTACACCTGTACAATACACACCTGGTGTTGCGTTCCTCCCGACTCACCCAGTATGTACGAAAAAATACATGGAGAAATCGCATTCTCTATGTGATGAAAATATCAATTTTCTATCGGTTTATTCAACAGAAAACAATTATTTTTCTTGCCATATGCCCAGCGGCGTATTCACCAGTACGCTTAGTATGCTTAAGCTTAGGGCTCCGCAGGAACCCTGGCATTGCATCACTCCTTCTCCTTTGAGCAATATGTACTTTTTTCATATAGCAGCAGCGGCAACATTTTAAAAATGTGGAGAATCATATACAGGGTCCTGCCGAGTTCATAGGGACAGTAAGTATTGCTATTTCCCAAACGATAAGAGATAGAAAATTACTCTAATCAGACGAAAGTTCAAATTTGTTCAATGAGGCGTTTTGCAAACTGAAAAAAAATCTACCGTTTCGTTTTCCTCAATATGAAAACAAAGTCGATGTTTTCCAGTTTCTGTTCACCCAATATTTCAGATACGGATACATTTTTTTCACTTTGCAAAACGTACCTATATCGTTTAGGAAATAGCAATAATGTCATTAATATCTATGAAATCGGCATATCGGCAAGACCCTGGTGAAGGAATGATGGACGTGTTCTCCAATGAAAAAATGCTGATTTGAACTTGTTTTCAACACTACCATCAGTGACCGAGGCAGAACGTTCATTTTCAAAATTATCAATAATTCAAATCAAATTAGGAACTGTGTACCTAATGCGGCCTTATGCCGAAGAAAATATTACAAAGTTTGAGAATACTTTCCATCAAAAATTATTTGATAAGCAGTTTGAATTATGATGGTGTAATAATATTATATTTCTCCTTATAATTTCTTTATGGTTTGGTTATTTTATTTTGTAACTACGTCTCTGATCCTAGTCAGTGTTATACAGGGTGGGCCACCAGTAACGCCTCGGTCTCTAGAAGGCTAACCACTTATCTTCTTGGAATTCTTCCTCTCTAGGAAGTTGCATGTCAACATAGGCTACCATTTAAAATTATTTCGAAACATACAGGGTGTCCCCAAAAACCATAAAACACTGAAGTTAAACTTTTTTCAATCGAACACCCTATATATTATTTCATTTTGAGATTCTCCCTGGTGAGCTGATTTCAACAATCCATCATTCTCTCTCAAATCGGATAAAATGATATGATTTATTATGATTTGAAACTATGATACGAATGATTTTTTGAAAGTTCCAAGCTCATGAAGATCAGAGTTTTCACAAGTATACTTCTCCTGTACATTTCAATTTTCATTTCTATGCTGAACATATATTGGTAAGTTATATTTTTTTATCATAATACATTACTGAACAAAGATAATTGAAGAAAACTGAATTTAAGGACCTATACTTACTTTCAAAGCGACCTTAGCGAAGCATTTTCAGACACATGGTAATAGGAATATTTCATATTATTTCCTCCCTGAGTATACGAACTTTATTTTGAGACACCCTGTATAATCGACTCATCATAACTGAAAAACTATAAATAATTTTTAAAATTCCGGGAGGCTATTAGAATGACCCTCTGAATGCGCTTCTTTCACCGTTACCGAAATTTTCATGCTGCAACCTTATCTTGGTCACGATGTATATGTATTTTTCCTATACACGCTCTTTAACAATTCAACAGTCAAGTGATTATACTCAGAGTGATTTCAACTTTTACCTGATCTATAATCAGTACACATGAATCAATAATCAGGTATAAATTAAATGTGTACTTGAAATCAAAAGTGAACCATGTAGGAACCTACCTATTCAGTGAAGTGAAACCCATGTTTAACTGAACCAGTCAACAACCTATTACTAGAAATAATGCTAGAATGCGGCGATATTCAGGAAATCTCAATCAAGTTCAAGTGGTTTAAACGTTTCGAGTCATCATTCATCAAGTAGGCCGTCGGCGTGTGTAATTATTGTCCTCTTCTTTTTCTTTTTCTTCTACTTCTTCTGCCATTGTCCCGAAAGTGGGTCACCCACTGACCCACTGCCATCCACTGCTGCCATGGGCACTAGATGTCTTCGGAACAGGGGCGAACTTGACCGTGTAAAAAAGGGTCGAAGGAATAGCTATTTGAGATAAAACTCTTTTCCTATCATAAAAATAGTTATTTTTGCCTCAACGGGAAAAAAGTTTGAAATTTCATCTGGGTTGACATTGAAAGGGAATATTCCCAGATGAACTATGAACATAAAAAATGAAAAAGTTGGTATTAATATAAAGAAAAACATTGAGAATTCGCATTCTCTATATGATGAAAGTATAAATTTTCTCGGTTTATTAAACAGAAATCAACTACTTCGGGAAAAAAGTGATTCCTGAAAAGTGACATTTTATAACCTGTCAAATTGTTTTTCCGCCACATAAAATATAAATTATAACGTATGTAACCTATATTATAAAGGAACATATTTGCAACTTGCTCCGTCACTATAGGCACTATAGATTCGCTTCAAATTTTGAGATCGAACACTTATACAGGGTGCCCGTGACCGTTGACCATATATTCATCAAAAGAAAAGAAAATGACTTCTCATACAATTTTTTGTTTTGATATTCAGTTTTGATATCCACTTCCGATTCGGCACAGTGCTTCAACGTTGAAAGTCGCATAATACGAGCAACCACTGCCTCTCCTGTTCTTCAGCCCCTACGCCAGTGAGCAAAAATAAACTAGTTTGC